CTGGTTAAAAGCTGCAGAAGCAATGAGGGCAAGGGAGGCTAAGAATCTGGAGAAGAGATCATGATTCAAAGGGGCACATGCACCCCAATGTTTATAGCAGCACTATTGACAATAGCCAAATTATGGCAAGTGTCCAAATGTCCACTGACTAATGGATGAATAAGATGTGGTATACACACACACACACACACACACACACACAAACACACAATGGAATACTACTTGTATTTTTGGAGAGGAAAAAAGAATGAAAACTTGCCATTTGCAACAACATCGATGAAACTACAATGTATTATGGTAAGTGAAATAGGTCAGGCAGAAAAAGACAAATATCATATGATTTCACTCATATGTGGAATTTAAGAAACACAACAGATGAACATAGGGGAAGGGAAGGAAAAATAAGATAAAAACAGAGCAGGAGGCAAACCAGAAGAGACTTAAATGCAGAGAACAAACTGGGGGTTGCTGGAGGGAAGTTGAGTAGGGGGATGGGCTAAATGGGTGATGGGCTTTAAGGAGGGCATTTGTTGGGTTGAACACTGGGTGTTATATGTAAGTGATGAATCACTGGGTTCTATCCTGAATACTATGTTGTATGTTAACTAACTTGAATTTAAATAAATAAAATTTTAAAACGTGAGCTGACAAACTATAGCTTTTCTTCTCTAGAGGCATTTGATCATTGGGGAAAGAAACAGAAGACTGAAAAACTGGGATTGGTTCAGATAGAGGGCCATAAATGGAAGACAGAGAAACTAGCTGAGTTAAAAGGTAACTCAGAGTGGGAAAATACACTTACAAAAAAGATATATGTAGCTGTATTACTATTATATACATTACATGCTATGTTATATTATATTTAATATATACTATACATATAAAAACTTCTATCCATAATATATAAAGAAATTCTCCAAATCATAAGAAAAAGCTAGTCAACCCAATGGAAAACGAGAAAGAGCTGGAAGAGGCACTTCACAAAGGAGGTATACAAATGGCCAATAAACAGTGGAAATGGTGCTAAACTTCACAGTTATCGGAGAAACACAATCCAAAGCCACAATTTAGTATCGCTAAACATCTAACAAAATGGCTAAAAGAACAACCAGAAAGCTGATACAATTTTGGCAAAAGTATAAAGTGCTATAAACACTTTGCAAAACCATTTGGCAGTACCTGCTAAAGATGAAAAGAGGCATACTTCGTGACCAGGAAACTCCTCTTGGGTATACACTCCCAAAGAATAAAGACCTATATTTTCCAAAAGATATGTCCCAGAAGCACTATTCCTAAACATTCCCAGACTGAAAACTATCCAAAAATGTCCATCATCAGTAATATGGATAAATACATTGCACTATATTCATACCACAGAACACAGCACAGTGAGAGTGTTTCACAACCATACCATAGAAGGTTCTCACAAATAATGTCAAGTGAAAAATACCTAAAAAGCACATGCCGTATCATTCCATTTGTACAACATGCAGAAAAAAGGCACAACTAATCGATAGTGCTCAAACTCAGGAAAACTCGTCAATCCTTTTGGAGACGGTGACTGGAAGGGGGCACAGAGGGGCTTTTGGGAGTGCTGCTACTATTCTGTTTCTTATATTGGGTGAGGGTTATATGGATGTTCTCAATTTTTGAAAATTTATGGAGCTGTATGCTTACATACAGTTTTCTGTCTGTGCTGTTTTTATAAAAAGTTAAAAAAGGTCACATGAATGAGCTTAGGGCCCCTACCAGTCAAAGCAGAGATGAATTCAGCATTCAAAAAAATGGAGGGGGAGAAAAAAATTTATAGTAACACAATTTATGAAAAACTAGTCCATAAGGATAGCTTTTTAAAAATGCCAAAAAACATTCATGTCACCAATGAGGTAGCTTTGAAAGCATCTCTTTACTTTGAAAATTGGTGACTAAGTAGAAAGAAATTAAGCATTTCTCTTGCTTATCCTGTAAAATTGGTCTTTGAGAGTAACCAAATAGCTTTAACTGGTAAAGGAAAGCTCTACTTTTACAAAAGAATGTCAATTACAATGCAGAAAGAGTGACAGAATTAGACATTTATCATTCTGCTACCCTAATGAATTGACTAGTTCTGGGAACAAGCAGGTTAATGGGTGATGGGATCATGGTTCCAGCCTAAATGTCCAATGAGAAGATCAGACTGTCATCTCTCTGATTCGGGGGTCAACATTAGCATTACTAATGGTTTTTCAACCAATTATGTTCTGATATGATACAAGATGAGGCACATGACATCACATACAATGTTCTCTAACAAAAAATTGTTTAACTCAATCAATTCTTTATATTTAAATTCCAGCGTTCAGGAAATAAAAGGGAAGGAGGAATACGTCAAATAACACCAATGAGCAGGAAGCCAGGCAAATCCAGAAAGCGAGCCATTCTACAAGATAACCAGCCTGGTCTCTTCAATTAGTTTTGAAAATGAGGGAAGGAAGAATAGCGCTATAAGTGACCTGGGGGAAATAACCAAATGGCATGTATGGTCTAGACTGGACCCTCGTTTGGACACTATCAGTTATATAAAGAACCTTTTCAACCTGGGTATAGGATGAGATGAAAATTTACTGATACAGAAAGGTGTACACTATGAACAGAAAAAAAAAAATTTAATTTTAAAAAAGGCTATAAAACAGTACATATACAATGACTTTATTTTGGTATATTAAATATACACAGAACAATTTCTAGAAAAATATTGTGGTAGGCCTTACTAACGCTCCCCAGTATCCAGTTTGCTCCTCCTTCCCGGCACACAAAGGCAGTACTTCTAAAGCAGGATAAGTAAGTTCTGAGTAGAAGAAGCCTGTGGCACTTTCTGCTGAAATACTCTCTTACCTGCTAGAGTCATCACGGAGGAGGCCTCATATGGAGACAGAGAACAAGATCAAAGTAGCCACCACCCGCATGTTCACTGTCCTGGAGAGTCACCTAAACCCCCAGGCAACGTTGCACAAGGGACAAGTAAGTTTCTGTTGTGTTAAACCACTTAGGTTTTGGTATTGTTTGTTATTAAGTTTAACTCAGCTTCCTCTGATTAATACAAAGTGACATCAATACACTTACAGCAGTAATCTCTGGGTAGCAGAAATATGTCATTTTTTTTTTTTTTAATGTTAAGGAATGGCTTTTTTTTTTTAATTTATTTACTTTTTTTTGCAGGTTTTTTTTTTTAACATTTGTTTATTTTTGAGACAGAGAGAGACAGAGCATGAATGGGGGAGGGTGAGAGAGAGGGAGACACAGAATCTGAAACAGGTCCCGGGCTCCGAGCTGTCAGCACAGAGCCCGACGCGGGGCTCGAACTCACGGACCACGAAATCATGACCTGAGCCAAAGTCGGCCACTTAACCGACTGAAATTTACTTATTTTGAGAGAGAGAGAGAGAAAGAGAAAGAGAGTGGGGGAGAAACAAGGAAAGAGTGAGAGAGATTCCTAAGCAGGCTTCACACTGTTGCCACTGTTAGTGCTTTTTTCCTTATTTTTTACAACGTTTACACTGTCTTTTTTTTTTTAATAATAAAAGGTCTAACTTGACAATAAATTTCATGTTAAAAAATAATAATAATAAAAGGTTACTTTTTTATTTATCTCATTGGGAAAGTTCACATGAAAGTGTAGGTATGAACATGTCTTAATTTATCAAGTTCATTCTTTCTGAGATACTTATTATGTATACCAAATAATACATGATAAGAACTTTTTTCAGACCATCCAGCTTTTCATTCATAATTGATCTGAATATACACTCCTATATCACACTACCACCCCTTGGTATTGAAAGATCCTCAGATTTGGGATCAGTAATGCAAAATAAAAGAGCCCTCAAAATTTCTATTAGCATGAATATTCATAATAGACCAAAACTGGAAAACATCCATCAGGGGTATGTAAGTAAATAAATTGTGATACATTCACACCATGGAACAAAAAAGCTTGTTCTACAACTACCCCTAACAATGTGAATGACTATTAACAACATGCTGAGTGAAAAAAACCAATCACAGTGGTTTATATAATGTACAAAAGCAAGCAAAACTAATCTAATCTAAACTAATTTGGGGAGACTGTGACTGAAGAGGGGCACAAGGCAGGTTTCTGACGTGCTGGTTAATTCTGTTCTTCATCTTGGGAATCACTTACACGGACGCATTTAGTTTGTGAAAAAGTCACTGAACTTTATACCAATAACTGCATGTGTACTATACTTCAATAAAACATTTTTTAAAAGTTCTTTAAAGTATGCAATTCTACTTCAGATCTCGGCTTTCAGTATATCACTGAAATGTTAATTGGACTTAAAAGCATACCTATATTTGGGAGATTTGTCTTTTAGGTAAGAGATTAAATATCTATATGAAAGACAATCCCCAATTTTATTACCGTGAAATTCTAAAGTTTAGCTTACATACATCATAGGTATGAATTATACAACTACAGGAGGCCAACTTATTTAAAGACTTAGATCATTCTTCAGCAAGTTAACTGTCAAAAAATGGAATATGAACTAAGTTAACTTAAAATTTTCTGAATGGCAAGTCAGCAGATCTCTAATCAAATGTTAACATTATCTATTGATTATGTATTTGTAAATTGTTCATTAGATACTACAAATAACCTTAGCAGTACAGATGTAAAGAGACTCAACCACATCACTCATATTTTATAGTATTTCTCTGGAAACAGTCTATTTAAATGGGTCTAATTTAGCTTCACTATTTTATATTTGAAAAAACTGAGGCCGAGAAAAGCTAACTTTTTATTAAAATAATTACCAATTCAATTATCATTGATCATCAAAATTTTTAGATCTGCAAATACAAAAAGATCATGAAATAAAAATTAGCAATGGTGTTACTTATGAATTACATCTCCTGTCTTAAAAGAGTAGACATATGGTATAAACATCTACATTGCATTTTAGAAAAATTTGGCAACTATTAGGCAATTCAATGAATGCACTGAGTTATAGCTTCTATTTTAAAATGTTTAATCTCAAAGTATAGATAGCAGTACCGATAGCATAATTCATCGTCACAGAGTAACAGAGTATTTAGCGTAATATTCATCACTGAATAATTGGGACAATTAATCTATAACACAACATGTGCATGATAAAAACCACAAAAATATTTACTTTTTAATGTTTTTTTTAAATTATTATTACTTATTTTTGATGGAGAGAGACAGAGCGTGAGCAGGGGAGGAGCAGAGAGAGAGGGAGACACAGAATCCGAAGCAGGCTCCGGGCTCCGAGCTGTCAGCACAGAGCCCGACACGGGGCTCGAACCCACAAACCGCGAGATCGGGACCTGAGCCGAAGTCGGACGCTCAACCGACTGAGCCACCCAGGCGCCCCTTAAACCACAAAAATATTTAAATAAAAAAAAAATGAAAGGCTTTGCTTTCTCCATCTTAGAAAGTGTATTAGTATTCTTATTCTGAGACAAAACCAGATTCAATAAATTAGAATTACCTTGACAGCCACTCCTTTTCCCTCAGGAAATTCTAGGAGATGAAACGTCAGTTCTTCAACCCTGTTAATGCAGAGCTTTGGGTCAGCTGTTCTTCTCAATGCTTGGACTAATGCCCGGGTTCTGTTATCAATACTCACTCTTGCAATAATCTATAAAAACATGTTAAAATATAGATGAGTAGAATTATGAAACTGCTCTAGTAATATCAACACATGACTGAAGTTCCTTAGGTCCATAGGGAAATGAAACTTAGGAATTGGACAAACATGAGAACTTCAAGCGACACTGGTAACAACTTGCCTTTTCTCGCTGAAGAGATAACCGCTTTTTCTCCTCTGCATTTTTGTCTTTGCTGACAGGTTGCTCGGCTTTAACAGCCTCCTCCTGTTCTTCCGGCTGACTCTTCGAATCATACTTCAATTTGGGGACAAGTCCACCAATATAACCACCTACTAAAGCTTGTACACCTTCAGTGGGACGAGAAAGAAAGTTAGCAATACTTTGTTTAGTAGAAACTGGAAGTGCCTCGGGTGTGCCACCGGGACTTGCAGGCTTGTCCTCAGAACATAAGGAAGATTCTGAATCTAGCTTATCCCTCAGGGAGCCAGGATCTGGAGAGCTAGATTTCCCTTCTTCAACCTTTGTATCTTCAAGTTCCGATTTGTCCTGGAAATGTTTACTTTCTTTTTTTTGAGGCATTCTTTCCTCACGTTTGAAGTATGAATTAATATGACTTGATAAAAAGTAGAACGACTCTCCAAATTTTGTGGTTATACTACGCGTGTAACGAAACAGGCTTTGTTTACCTAGATCTTCATCTAGAACACGACTTTCCTTTTCCGAAAAAGAAGTATCTTCTGATTTGTTGCTATACTTTTTCAGAGATTTGATGGCTTGTTTAATGTTTTTCTGTTTTAACCAGCCACCATCCGATACTTTTCTTAATATTCGAGAACTTGGCTTAAATTGAGCTAAACGTGAGATCATTTCATTCTGAGTGCCAAAAACAGCCTTTGAAACAGAGTTCAAAGTACTTTTAATACGGGACATACGAATGCTCACTTTTGTTAGTCCCTTGGGGGCAGAAGTGCTAAGTTTCAAAATCCCAATGTGTAAACCATGGTGGCTTGGAGAGGAACAGTGCTTGCTGCAAGAATGTGCTTCACTTTTGGTCCATTTACATCTTATTTTGCTTGTATGAAAACCTCTTTGTAGACTGACGTGGCTTATCCTCCAGTAATGTTTAGGTGAGCACAAGAAATGCAGTTGCTTGCTTCTCTGCTTCCCACAAAGACTTCTTGCATTACTAAGGAGGTAAATATAATATATATCTGTAGTCAAATTAATAGACATAACTTACAAATCATTTATTTTCTATATGTTATGATTTTCACTTCATTCCTGAATGCTTCATTTAAGAAATGCCATAATTCATGGTCTTACCTGAAATGGCAAGAAAAAAAAATTAGGATTCAAGGTAAAATGGAAACCAGGTGTAAGATAAAATACATTTCTGCTCAAACTAAACTCAGCAGCTTGTCTCAAAAGAAGACAGAGTAATGCACTTCCATTACAGATAGCACAGATTTGACTTTTAAGCTAACCGAAAACAATTCATTTGTCAGTGCAGCAATCAAAGAAAGAAGTCAATAGTAGGATGTTTGATAAGAACTAATTTAGGGAAGCTACCCAATAGATAAGTTTTCCTATAATACATAACTGAATATGCAGTTTAGATACTATGCTGTTTTTCTTCCTTATTGTTAAAGTCTTGACTGGTTTACGTGACACTAGACATTGAGTTCTTTTAAAGAGTCAAGTCTTCTACTACCTCGTTCATTGCAAACATTTATAGTATATTTGATCTCCACCAGACATGGTGCTAGATGCTGAGACCACAAAGACCAACAGGATAAGAGGGAACTCTCGGTCTAGAGATACAGATAGCCATGTAGAAAACACTTCACTCTCTAGTTATGTTTATTAAATCAAAGAAGTTTGACTAGAAGAAGCTATGTGCCACATCTAACAGACCAGGGGTCACCGAAGAATAAATACAAACAGTGAAATTACAAAAACATCCTCACCACATCAAATAAAAATACCAATTTTAAACAGATTATTTTGTTCTTTTAATTGCTAAAAATGTAAATGGTTGATAATATCCAGCATCGATAGTGGCCTGGAGAAATGGGACACATAGGGCTATTTGACAGTATCTAATGAAATTTTAAATACTATCTATAGAAATTTTAAAGGCACAAATTTCTTGACCAGAAATTCCAATACTAAAAATCTATTTAGAATCCTACAGAAATACTTGCCTAAGAGTGCCAAAGTATGTAAACCCTTTCCCTAATGCATTGCTTGAAATAATAAAACAATGAAAAACAACTCTAAAGGTCTTCTAACAAGGGATGGTTAAATAAATTAAGTCACATACATACAACAGAGTGGGTACCATATAACGTGATGCAGCAGTTAAAGGAAACCAGGTGACCCGCATATCTTCCATAAGCACTACAGTGAAAAAGGCAAGCTGCTATACACGTGCTATACATACGTGGAGATACAAGGAGGCAGATACGTAGCTACTACATAATGAAAGAAAACAAAACCTATATGTGCCATTTAAATCTGTGGCTACACACACACACACACACACACACACACACAC